ACTACTACTACGCTGCTACTGCTACTGCGACTGCGACTGCTACTGCTACTACTACTACTACTACTACTACTACTACTACGACTACTACGACTACTGCAACTGCTACTTTTGCTGCTTTACTATCAGTACTGCTATGCTATTGCGATTCATATTCTCATTCTTATTGCTGTTACTTGTACTGTTAGTAGGCTTATAGCTACAGTAACGGAATATTCATTCGTATATTCTTTCGTACTAAATACTCCGACTCGCTTTTATTAGAGTCGCCATGCACTTACTGCACAGCGTTCTATATTCCTCAAAGTTTTCTTTCCTCTCTCTAACCGGCACTTGTCTGAAGCCCCAACACTGAGCCGGTGCTTCGAGTGTGAAACAGCTCCTGCGCAGGAGTCCGTTAAAAGGCTCAGGCGCCTTAGTAAGTGAGCTTACAAATAAGGAAAGTATATTTATTGTAAGTACTGTGACTACACTTCTGAGTAAGGTAGCTGTACTTACGAGTGCTTACAACACCAACAAAAGTGCCTATAATGCTGCTTACTACGTCCCCTGATCCTTCAGGAGGGATTCGGCTCTTCGGGTGCAGCCTGCACAAAAGTCATCTGGCTCAGTCATTGAGAAACTACAGTACCGTCTATCTGTCTACCTGCCTACCTAAATGTATACAGGCATGCGTGTGTGGGGTGTGTGTGTGTGTACGTATAAATGAAACCCATATCCCGGCACGGGATCGCAAGCACCCGACAGCCGCCCAAGCCCCCCTGAAAAATGGCCGCCTGGCTTCAGGAGATGAAACTCGAGCTGATGACATCCCGCTTTTTCGGGGGCTGCCACTTCGACGTGATCTTGATCCTCGGAAGGGCTCTTTCGGGCTTTAGAAGGCTCTATGGGGTCGTTTAGAACGGCTTGGGGTGCAGGGTCCGGCTTCAGGCTTGTACGGCTTAGCGACTGCCTCGCCCCAAACCAGCACTGCAAAACCCAGAATATGCATACGGAAGAGAAAAGTGAGAATCATCCCTTGCCTCGTGTCATCCAACCAGAACCTGGGCCCCACACCAATCAAACACCATAGAAACGAGAATAATAACAACCGCACTTTTAATTATCACGGCAGTGGTAAGCCGTGCCGAGAATAAGCATTAACTATGCGCGTGGTTGCTGGTGTTGCTGACGCAGACACGGGCCACAGACAAACTAGGGATCCTTTCCTCCTTGAAAACTCTGGACCCTGAGCTCTACCAGACACCAGACGACGACGATGATCACATATCCTTTCAAACGATTATCCTCATGATGACCTTCTGGTCAGTGCCTTGCATAGTAACAGCAGTGGCAGCCATGGTCGTCGTCGTCTGGCGCGGCGTCGTACTGTCAGGAGGACTGGGAGGACGAGCAGAAGCAGCCGCAGCAGTAGTAGCAGTAGTCGTCGCCGTCGTCGTAGTCGCAATCGTAGTCTTGGTAGTAGTTGTAGCAGCAGCAGTAGTAGTAGTAGTAGTAGTTGTTGTTGTTGTTGCTGTAGCAGCAGTAGGAGTGATAGCGAGAAGAAGAAGAAAACTCAGACAACAATATTAGCAATACGTCGTCGTCGTCGTCGTCGTCGCGGCGGCGGCGGCAGTGGCGGGCGGTGGTGGTGGTGGTGGTGGCGGCGGCGGTGGTGAGGACATGCTGGTGGTGAGGACGTGGTGGTGCCTTTCCATCGTCATTCTTGTTCAGCGTGGCACTGAAAATAGCCAAACGCCGGCCTCTTTCGCCAACCGCACAGGCCTGGACCCCAAGACCTTCAAAAATCCCCAAGCTTCAATCCCCAACCTTGCACCTTTAACCCGAGCCCTGCATCCTCAACTCCAAAAGCTGGACCCCAGCTCCCAGACCAGACAAAGCCCTCTGCTTCCCGAAGTTCTGAGCCCCCCCTGAACTCGTAAAGCCCTCAAACCCCAAGCCGTTTTTGAAGTGAAAGAATCTGTTGCCTTCGAAAATTTGAGGTCACATACCCTTCATGGGAGTCCCCATCAAAACCCTGAAGCGCCCTCGCAACACTTCGTAAACCTCTATCGAAGACCTTCAAAAAAACCCTAGACCTAAACCCTGCATGAACCCAAACTCCAAACGTCTGAACCCTAAACCCCAAACCCAAGCTCCAAACCTCTAAACCAAGCAACCCGAAGCCCTTATACCAGCCTCCATGCCAAGGCTCTTCTGCGTCCAGAAGTTCAAGCCCCCCTCCCCGGTGATGTCGGAGCTGTCGCCGAACTTCGAGTTCCCAATGCCGCCGAAGCTGAACCTCAAAGGGGGTTGAGGATTTTGTAGGAATGGTGGTTTAGGGTTCATAGGGTGTTTAGGGTTTATGGTTGGTTTCGGGCTTGGGGCTGCAGGGATTTGGGGCTTAATGACTGAGGGTTTCAAAGAAGACTGGATGGGTTCTACAGTGGTTACTATGAGGGGTGCGATAAGGGTGACTATAGAGATTCGGGGCTTAAGGGGGTTCGGTTCTGGGTTTCGGTATAGCTGTATGGTTTAGGGTTACGGGCTTATCAGCGTTTCATTGGTTTCTCTAAGGGTTTCTGTAGAGCTTTACACTCTATGCTGGTCTCATAAGGGTTCTGTGAGGTTTCAGGGTTTGGGGTCGAGGGTGTAGATTTGAGGGCTCGGGTTAAAGAGCTTGAGGGTTTACCGTCAACTCTAAGCCCTCAACAGATGGTAGGGGGTTCAAGGAGGTCTCTCGAGCATAGGTGTAGGACTGCTTTGGAAGCGTTGGTCTGCTAAGGCTTTGCACTGGAACCAACAAATGTACTCTCACCAATATCCCTAAGAACGTCCCACTGCAGCGCCCTGTAACTCTGACGAGTCTTCCCTGAGCCATAGTCTAGTTGTCAAGGCCCTGACAACACATCCTGCAAGACCCCACGAATATTATGAAAGCGACACGAATCTCCCAAAACAGCGTCGCCCTGAGCTTCCGACGGCTCCCTGGGCACCGGCACGCCAATGTTGACACCAATCATGCCAGCATTGAGCTTTTCCTGACTAGAGGGATCGGGGCCGGGGACATAAGTATGTAGAGTTGCAAATGAACTGAGAGTAGTTGAAGATACCTAAACAGCAACACCAATTTTGGTACTCATGACCGTACTTAGTAAGTCCCCCGATCCTGTCGCCTCTCACTGCCGCGAAACAGCTTGGGTAGGCTCCTGCTCGCCGTCCCCGCTTGAGGATCCCCGAAAGGTCCAGCTACACCCACAGCACATGCGCGCGTAATGTGGGGGCCTTAATGATTTTAATAAGACTTGAGGGTATATTCGATTATAATTGTAGTAAGGAACCCTGAGGAATCATATTGGCAACTATTTGGGCTATAGCAAACCCTGTGCCCTTCCCGATCCCAGGCTCCGTCTCGAGGGCGGTCTGGCCAGACATGGTGTAAATGGCAGCCGCGTTCCCGTACGGGTTTGCGTTCTCGATGGCGATGGCCTCCTCCAACGTGTCGACCTCGGAACTCGCTTTTAAAGAGAGACAGAAATCCGAACGAGAAGAAGAAAGGAGGCAGTAGAAGAAGTGCTAATCATCCTCGTCGTGCTAATAGCAGTAGCAGCAGCAGCAGCAGCAGCAGCAGCAGCAGCAGCAGGAGTAGTAGTAGTAGTAGTCGTCGTCGTCGTCGTAGTCATAGTCGTAGTCGTAGTCGTAGTCGAGGTCGTAGTCGTAGTCGAAGTCGTAGTCGAGGTCATAGTCGTAGTCGTGGTCGTAGTCGTCGTCGTCGTAGTAGTTGTTGCAGCAGCAGCAGCAGCAGCAGCAGCAGTAGTAGCAGTAGGAGTAGAAGCAGGAGTAGGACGAGAAGGAAGGCAAGAAGGAGAAGAAGCAGAACGCTGTAAGGAACAACTGTGATCATCATCATCATCAGCATCATCATGATCATCATCATCATCATCGCCATCATCATCACCAGCAACAACGAAAACAACATCGCCATAACTCTAAACCCTAAATCGCAGCACGGACTGTTCGGGGGGTTCCAAGGACTCCAGCCTCGGATTCGGGGCTCCGTACAATCGGAGCTTCTCCTGTGAGGCTTGCAAAACCCTAGAACCCGGAAAACCCTAAACACCCAAAACCCCAATCTCCTAGACTCCTAACCCCCCACCTCTCCCTAGAAGCCTTACGGAACCCTCACAGCCCCTACAGAACCCTTCGAAAGCCCTTAAAGAGGTTCCTATTTTTGTCTCCCCCGCCTCGAGGACGGAGAGGACGGGCCCGAAGATCTCGTCCTTCATCGCCGGCTCCTCTTGAAGCTCATGGGAAGTTAGAAGTAAGCGTACGGTGGTTGCGGTTTAGGGTCGTTCAGGGCTTCAGGTCTAGGTTCTAGGGTTTGGGGGACTCCTGCCCAAGGAATTTGCACGGACGGACGTGGGGTTTTGGTGTTTATAGAGTCTTGCAAGGCCTTGACAGGAGCGGTTTTCAAATGGTTTCGGGCTTACTTAAAGGATCAAGTACGTGGGGTTGCAAGCTAAAAACAACTGTAGCTACAATATGCTGCCTACATCAACACTCACCAAATCCCCTGAGCCTCTATGCAAACATCCCAGGCCGCCGAGCTTTTAGGATGCTCCGGAGCTTAAACATTCCCCGAAGCTTCCATGGAGACAGCCCCTGAACTGAACCCTTCGGGTGCATGTCTCTCCGTGCGAGACTGTGTCGTGAGTAGACATAGTAAACCTGTGGCATCATCCGAAAGCCTCCGTCAGCACCCTAAACCCCAAACCATGATCACTGACCCAGAACCACCCCAACCTGCGCCGACTGGTGAAGCAGCACGCTGGGGCCGAACCAGAAACCGCGCGTGGCCACCTGGCCCGAAAGCCACCGCAACGCGCAGGCTGGATTTTGGTGTTCAGAGTCTAGGGCAACAGGGACGACGACGAGAACGACGGCGACGACGGCGGCGACCACTACTGCCAGCGCTCCATGCGTCGCTGCACTCTCCGTCTGCCAAGATTGATCCATGCCAAAACCTCGACGAATGGGCCTGCCAGCGACGCCCGTCCAGCAAGATCTTGGCACCGTGCCTCGGTCCAAACAGGGCCTTCCATAAGGGGTTCAATACGGGTCCGAAGGGCTTTTCAGTCAGCATCTCCTGTTTTATCCCCCAGGAATCGTCTTCAGGTCCTGACACAAAAGTGCTGGGCTCTGTACAGCTCCAGCCCCTACACCCGAGACCCTGACTTTTTGGCAACCCTTCCAACACACTGCAAAAACCCTTACGAAACCCTAAACAGCCTCAGACCCCATAGAAACCCGTCAGAAACGCCAGAGAACCCCTACAAAGATCCCCACAGAAACCCTACTAGGCCTCCCTTAGGGGGATTTTTGTTCAAAGCCCTGAGCCCGGCGGCCCCTCGCAGGCTGCCAGGTACCCACTGAGACGCGCCATGGCCGCTGTGTCAATGACCTGTATTATATTATATTATATTATATTATATTATATTGTATTGTCTTGTCTTGTATTGTCTTGTCTTGTATTATAATATAATATACTATATTCTAATATTCTATCTATATTATGAGGAGGCATCGGAGAATCAGCACAGAGGTTTACAAGGATGTTACAAGGGGAACCTCCAGGGCTTTATCAGGGCGTTTAACGGGTTTTGCAAGGTTCGTGTACGGGTTTGATAGGGTTTTGCCAGAGGGGGCTTAAATCTGTAGGGTTCACGGTTTTTGGCATGGGCTTTAGGGTTCTCATAGGGCTCTCTTTCTGGGCTTTGGGCTTAGGAGCTTCGTAAGGATTTTCTTTTCCCCTTGCAAGGTTACGGGGTTTCTGTGAGGGTTGCTATGCAGGGCTTTTTCAGGGCTGGCTTTGGGGTTAGGGCTTGAGAAGGAAATGCTAGGGTCCCCCCTGTCAGGTTTTGTAGGTGTCGTAAGGTTGATGATATTGACCCTGTAGGGCTTAGGGTCGTGACAAAGGTTGCGGGTTTAGGGTTCACGGTTCATGATTCAGGTTGAAGGTAGTGGCATCTAGGATACGGACAACAACAAGATATACAATTCATCCGCAGTTTCACTATGTTTAAAGTTGCCATCTATGCTTTCAGCCTGATGGTTTTGATCCTGCTGAAACCCTGCACCCTGGACCCCAAGCCCTACAACCCCGAATCTAATGCTTGAGAAATCGTAAAAACAGTACTCATCTTAGAAACAAACACACAACATGACTGCGAGAACCTCTACAAAGACCAACATCATCGGACCAGTTTTGGAGGTGAGGTTCAATGTAGGGCGTTGAGTCCTTGCTGATGATAACAACAAAAGCTTCCGAAGCCGGCGCCGAGCCTCCTAAGGCTGTCTTGGGTTGTATTAGTTATATACAGCTTCCTCTGGGCTGTTAGGAGGCTGTAGCACCAAGAGTCGGTATTCCACGGCCCAGCAAAAAGCAAACCACAAAGGTCACTACACTGTAAACCTTTTTCTTAACCCGTAATAAACCCCTAGTTTAAACAACCCTGATAAAGAACTTCTTACAAAGCCCGTAAGAAACCCATACGAAGGCCGTGTCGCACCTTTTATACATCCCCCCATCGGGCCCTTCTAACACCCCTTTAAAAACCACAATATTTAAGTGTGCTTCGTCTTTGCTTTTGTTGAACCAGACTCTTTCGCCCAGCGACAGGGCCGATCTCCCCGGGCTTCTGGCCACCCTGCGCGCGGATTCCAGGATGGCAAAAGAAAGAAAGGGCTGATAAGGTGTAGGGGCTTAGGGTTTTTGGGGTGGTTTAAGGGGCTTAGGGTTTAGGGCTGCAGGTAGTTTAGGGGTTTTGAAACAAGTCTCTTTGTGGTAGCAGACCACATGCAAAAGCAGAAGTAGGAGCGGAGCTGCAGCAGGGCAGTACGGTTTAACCTCCGAGCTTCTTAGAAACTTCGGGATTTCCAAGTGCCCCCTGCCTTGAGGGATTTGGCCTTGGCCACAAGCTTGTCCAGGAAGTCTTTCCGTCCTGCCAAACTCTCCAAGCCCTGAATCCTTGACCCTGAAGCCCTGGAGCCCTGAATGCCTAAACCCAAACACCTACAACCCTAAACCCCTCAAAGCCAGAACCCTCACTGTTAGACCCAGAAGCCCTCGAGCCTTAAACTCAAAATCTCCCCACGAAAGAAACAGTCTCGAAAGCAGCAAGTTACCTTAAAAAGGAACCCTGAAAACGCCCCCTCTCCGTGCAAACGGAGATCCTGCAAAGATGTCAGAAAGGGATGCAACGGCAGCACCGGGGCAGTTCACCAATGCACTCAGGGGCACTGAGCCCCTCATCCTGAACTCCCGCCCCCCTCAACAAAAAGGAGGGAGGGGAAAACAAAAACATGAAACACCTGCTCTGTTGGGGGGGGGCCTTCAAACCCCAAGCCCCAAACCCTTAACCCCAAACCAAACAATACGCGCTATGAAGCATTTGCCTCTTTCATTTTAGGGATGGGGCGGGGCGGGGACTCTACGCGCCTTTGCCCACGACCAGAAGCACCGAGGCCGCCATGCAGCGCTGCCCTGCCGAGCCGAAGGCCGAGTTCATGATGTCCGAGATGGTCATGTCCTCTTGAAAGGTAGGGTTCAGGGTTCCCCAGACCCTTCAAGGGGATACTATAAGGACTTCTATGAAAGTGGGTCTAGGGTTTTGAGCTTTGTGACGTGTCCGGGATGGTCATATCTTGCTCTCTTTAGAAGGCAGGACGACATCAGGGCTACCATGAGGGACGATAAGGGCTGCACAATTAGAACAGGGGTTGCAAGGGGGTGCTTTTTCTAGGGACACTGTGACTGATGATTTATATCTGCCGGAGGAATACTTATAACTATTCAGGCTTCTACATTAACCGCTAAACCACTTTACGGGGCTCCTCATCGCAGTCTGGCATGGCAATGAGATGGTTCTTCGCGCCACCCATGCACAAGGATCGCTTCCCAGTGCTGCGTGCCGTCTTGTCAATGATGTCCTCGGGCACTGATGCTTGAAACAAGGGAGCCTCTCTTCCCTTTTGGGATGCCTTAAAACAACGGTGGCACAACTTTGAGGCCCTAGGTTAAAGATCCAAACCGGGGCCCTAGTTTAGAGAGTCTCTCGCATGGATAAAAGCTAATTTGTGTTTGGATCCTCTGCAGCTTACCGACAGGCAGTGGGATGTTATCCAAACTGCGTGGCAGTTACTGTGGCACCTTGAAAACTGAGAGTTCTTCTGCGGGGATGCAGTTGTAGGCCTGCGACCTTTGTGGGTTTCTCTCTTTACTGCTGCAAGGATCAGGGCGCTTAGTCACGAGGGCTATAAACTACCCCAACGGAGGTTCAAGTAACTAGATCTCTAGATCTATGGCTACTTTACTTGCGCTAGTACTCCCATCTACCATCCTCATAAGCCTCCCAGTAGAGCTAAACCGCACCAAAAAACCTATAAAATCCTTATGCCCTATATTACTATACTAGAACCCCTACAGAAAGCCGTTTATGACATTACAGCTCTTAGCAAAGTAACCTTACAAAACCCTCTTGACCTTTCATCAACCCTGAGGAAAACCTCAAACAATCCCTGTTCAGGCTCTAAAAACGAAGCCTCGCAAAACCATCTAAAAAAATGACACTCTGAAGCAAACCGGTTGACACCCTAGTTTAAAACCCTATCACAAAAAACACGATAGAAACCCTACTAAATTTCCCGACAAGCCACCTAACCCAAAAACCCTAAACCGGAAGTTCATCAGATCTCCCAAGATTGGACAAAAATGGTTCCTTACAGCGTACTGCCTTCGATGCTTTTAGGGGTTTGGGGCTTTGGGTTTAAGGGGCGTATGGTATTGTTTGGGGTTAGCCCCCGCCCTCTGCGAACTTAGGTCCTGAACCCTAGAGCCCTAAACCTTGCGCCAAAGCCCTCACCAAGTCAAAGCCGACACAAGACCTGCTGCAAACGCGTGGGCAATGTGGTGCCATGTAGAATGCAGCACTATATCTGGACTATAGGTGAGTATTCTTGCAAAATATTTGGACAGACCTACGGCCCGCGCAGCCCTCTGCACGTAGAGATTATAGAGACCCCCCGGTATTCACCCCTAAAGCCTAAGCCCTAAAACACGAAACCCAAAGCTTCAAGCCCGAAAACCCTAAACTCTAAGCCCTAAACCCCAAGCCCTCGCTTCGCAGTCAGAGCGCGGCGACGCGAGAGCTGCCAACGAAGGAGATCGCAGCGATCCCTCGCAGGCTGGGCCCCGAAAAGGCAAAGGGTTTAGGGCTGAAGAACCCGACTAGGGTTCCTTCGGGTTGCGAGTTGAGGTTGCTATAAGGGTTTAGAGAAGGCAGAGAAGGGTTGCTGTAAGGGCTTTGGGCTCAATAATCATACTGAGAGGTTCTTCTCTGGGTTACTACAAGTGTTTCGTATCTAGGGGCTTAGTCGAAGGGTTCAGTCTAAGGGGGCCTCGAGAAGTAGAATAGGGTTCTATAGTGGTTCGGTTAAATCGTTCTAGAAGGGTTGCTATAAGGGGCTTGGCATAGGTGGATGTTTGGGATGCTCTTGAGGTCTCACATAAGGCCTTTATCAATTGCAACTGAAACTTTGCTGGCTATATCATATGGGCTGCACAGGGAGAATATCGGGGCTTGAGGTTCTTGCAATTAGGATCCAATGTAAGTGCCCCCTCTAGGGTTTGGGATCGTAAAGTTCGAAGGCTAGGGCCTAGCACATCTAGGACTCGCGGAGGATGAAGTAAGGAAGCAGATCAACAACAGCATGAGGACCGCTAAACTCAGACAGGCGGATAGAGCCAAAGCCAAAGGGAGAGAAAGGCAGACAACCAGACAGGGTGAGAGAGAGGGAGACGGGGAGAGAGTGAGAAGAAAAGACGCCTTAACACTGCGTGTACATATACACTCTGTATGTATGTACACATGTATGCGTACATGCGTCGCATACACAGGCATTAATATGTGTGCGTGTGTATATATATGTATATGCATATACAGAGAGAGTGAGTGAGTCAGTCAGTGAGTGAGTGAGTGAATCCTTATGTGCGTGGTGGTCTGTTTGAGAAACCTGACGGCCGGATGTGGCGAGGTGTTACGGCAGACTCGAGATGGACAGGAGTTTGAACAAGGATTTAGGAACAAGACTTTCCACTTTGTGGCCCTGACAGCACGGTCAAAAGTTCACCTCTCCAAGGAAACCACATCTTAGCAAACGCCCAAAACCGTAACACCTCAAAGCACTGAAACTCTAAAGCCTTAAAGATGTGAAAGCCAACCCAAAAAAACAAAACCCTGAAGCCCGGCAAAAACCTAAAGCCTGAATCAAACAAAACACCAAACTAAAGCCGGAAGCCCTACAACCTCGAAAGAATAGTCTTCCAAGGCGCCCGGATGCTCTGCAAGCGCCTCCCGCGCTTGGGGTTCGTATGGGGTTCAGGCTTTCAGCTTTTCTGGTATAAGCATATTAGGACAAAACGAGGTTCCCAGTGCTTCTATGCGTAATCTTGAGATCCCTATAGTGGGGCTTTTGAGGGCTTCAGAGTTCGGGGGTTTAGGCTTGAGAGCCTGGGATTCATCCGGTTCCCGGTCCTAAACCTGCGCCCAAACCTTTCGGCTGCCTCTACACACCCCCCGGGCTCCCCCAAGGAAGAATCCAAACGGTTCCTTGAAACCCTAAAAGCCGAGGGCTGTTATGGAGCGATACGAAGTAGACCGTAATGAACAAACCCGGTTTCCTTCAGGGCCTTAACCCCGTTACAATCCTGATTGAGGTGAGAGGCTATTAATCAGGTGTCGAAGGTGCAGAGGAAAAGGTTTACGGCGTTCCAAGGTTTTGAGCTGAAGAGGTCTATAAAACCCTGAAAACACTACGAAACCCCACGAAAAATGTAGAGAAAATCTCTTTCGGGTGGAATGGGCAGCAAAAGCCCCTGCCTTCGCAACCGTTTGAGAACCGTGGACGATCGAAAACACTCCCTTCGGAAGGCCGGCATCCATCAGCAACTCGGCCATGCGCATCAAGGTCAGGGGGACCTCGGCTTGGTTGCGGCTTCAGGGTGTCAGGCCCAACGCTTGGGGGGCTTTCGCTGGGGATAACCATGAAAAGCTTCTTCACCTGATGGAACTGTCGCTAGCAATGGAAACACAGCAATCGAAGTAAAGATATTCGCAGCAATCAACAAAAGAGCGCAACACTAGCAACACGATGAAGAAAACAGTGTCGGGTTCTGGGGCCCGATCTGAACTTCTCGCTTTGCTCCTGTTTCCCCTGCCTCAAGGATGTATCGCAACTTAGGGTGTCGGCCTCTTGAGGCTCAGGCTCTAGGGCTTAATGCTTCGTGTTTCTGGTTTGGGGGTTTTCGGCAATGTCAAACATGGAACTTCGGTTCAGCTTACAAGGCAGCTGGGCCTTCTCAGACGGCTTGATGATCAGGCAGTTGCCGCATCCGATGGCAATGGGCAGCGTCCTTGGAAACCGGACTCTGAAAAACTGTGATCAAGTCACGCCTAAACCTCAAAACCTCAACTCTAAACCTTAAACCTCAAAGGTCCTAAAGCCGCAACCCGAAACCATGGAACCTTCAACTCCGAAACCTGAGGCTTTCAACAACAAGGTTTGAAAACAGCAAAGCTGCGGGAGTGGGTGTCGAAGATCGCGTTAACAATGAAACGTGAACCTGTAATGTAAATCACATGGGACATGTAGTCGCCGCTGGCTGCAAAAGCGGCTACCACAAATCATCGTGGAGAGGTGATGCAGAGAACGCATGTGTGGAAAAGAAACACTCAAGCTTCAGGGAAGCACGCGCGTCTTCGCCACGTCGTGCCAACACAAGTTCGTCACATACTATGATGAAAACAACGTGAAGGTATGGGGAAGCTCTATGTATGACAACATTGTCCTCTCTTCATTCCAACAATCAACAAGTGGTGGTTGCTTTTGGCTGCAAATAACTCTGTGTGTGTGTTGTTTACCGCGGTCGAAATTTACGGCTTTGCTCGGACAGCGCAAACTCCTCTATCTACTTGCAAAATCACCTGGCCCCATCACAAATTCTTAACCCTCAAACTGCTTCGGCGGGAGGGGATTGGTCCGCCGAAGGTTGCGCGCTTGAGAACGTCCAGAAATATGCCGCAAAAGCCCCCTCTCAAAGTCTCAAAGCCTGAACATAGCCCATACATATATATATATATACTTCGATCCACACGTAGCAGAACGGAGGGACCAAGAATTAGGGATTTAGTTTAGAGCCTAGGGCCTAGGGTCTTTCGGGTTGGGTGATTTATGGATCTAAGATGTACGTAGGGCTTAGGATTGTGGAGGGGTCCAGATATGGAACTTTGCAGAAGGAACCCCCAAAAAAGGTAGTCCAAATCTTGAGTGACCCTCAATCCCTTGTCAGATCCGGCACAAAGCTCCAGCAAAGACCCGATGAAACCCCTGCGAACCCGCCTTTCTGAAACCGCAATCAGCGAATCCCGACTTCAGCCGCGCCGCCACAGAGGCACCATGGCCGGGAAGTTGAACGGAACAATCGAGGCCACCACCCCAAGCGGGCGGCGGACCTGTCATCACAAAGGAAGGGTCTGGGGCTTAAGGTGCGGGGTCCAGGGTTTATGGTTTAGCTTATGATTTACTTACTTGGGGTCTAGGGAGAGTCGGTTTAGGGAGCAGGATTTCGGAGGGTGTTGTCAAGCGTCTACAGGGCTTCACGAGGCCTTCAAAGGGTGTCTTAATGCTGGTGCTGCCTTAGGGTGTCCAGCCCATTTCGGATCTGCACTGCGACTTCAAGAAGGCTTTGCGTTTGGGATCCCTGCTAGGGGCCATAAAGGGCCATGCAAGCCCAAAGAACCTTGTTCAGAGCAGGGGTTGAGGTTGTCCCCTCAAGCCCCAATGTATGTTCAAACCCCTGCCACTGTACAAGCATGATAACGAAGCTACCCCAACGTTCGTACAGTACTGCATGAAAATGTGACTACACTGACACTATTAGCGCAGGTTGTGATCTTACACTGTCACAACGAAAAACACCAACTAGTTTGCCCCTTGTTTTGAATAAGGCTGATATATATATATATATATATATATATACATATATATGTATATGCATGTATGCATAGATAGAAATATGTAGATAAAGACATAGATATAGACACAGATACAGATAGAGATATAGGTATAGCTTTAGATATAAAGATAGAGATATAGATATAGATCTTGATATAGCTCTCTCTCTATATATATATATATGTATATATATATATTTATGAACAGAGATATAGGTATAGACATACACGTAGACAAATAAAGATAGAGATATAGATATGGATAAGGATGTATGGGATATAGGTTTAGATGCAGATATAGATATAAATACATATGTAGATATAGATACAGCTATAGATATTGATGTAGATGCAGATATAGACCTGGGAACAGATAAAACACACAGACACATATATAGATATAGGTATAGAGACAAGCACCGATTTTGATATAGATATAAATACAGATATAGATATACAAATGTATAGACATATACATATACATGTATGTGTATATATATATATACAACTTTCAACACACACACACACATATATATATATACATTTTTATAGGTGCACACATAGACAGCTATTTACATGCATATACATATACAACGAGAAATACACACGCAGATGCACGTATGTACATGTGTACATATATATATATGTATACATATATATATATGTATATATGTATACATGTATACTGTATACATATGTATATATATATATGTATGTATATATATATATCATATCTTGCAGCTCTGATCCATCTCCACTTTATTCACCGGGGAGGTTTAGGATTCCTATCCTAACCCCGATTAAACGATGGGCAGTGTGTTGACCAGGGGTATACATCGACCCCCAAAGCCCCCGATTCCTCATGCAGACCCCTAAAATTAACACCTTGTGAAAGTCTTGCAAGCCCCTTTTATGGAAATCTTCTAAAACCCTCGGTTCTTATGGGACGCGCTGGCGGCGAACATTCTTTATTCGAGCGCGCAGGGCACAGCTGTCTGCTGCCCGTCAGCACAGCACCGACTGCTTTCAAAAGTTAGACTTCTCGGGATTATAATTACTCATGCCTATCAGAGCGGGGCGGTTCTGGCAAAAAAGCTGAACCTTACGGTACAACGGAGTGTTGTCCATTCTCATGAGAGAGGTGGTTCCATGTGCATGATCAATCTGCTGGATGGTGGGAATGGAGAAAACCTCATTGTTGACGTCTGAGTGGGATGGTGGCGCATCCGATGACATAAAGTCAATGCGTTAAGAAGCCTCTGTGAGGCATGACTCCGCCCAGTGTGGACGGGGCGGCCTGGTCTATTAGGGGAGAAAACATGTCTATATGCGTGCGTGGGAGCCCATAAAAGTAACCTGATATTCAAGAGTATGTCTGTAAAGGTGGCCGAGTAATTGGAGTCTTTGCTGCGAATATCTGGCAAAGTGAGCACTAGAACCCTAAACCCTTAAAACCGAACATTGGATCCTGCCTCATGGCACCAAACACCCCTGGCCACCTCAGAAAAACGGCGTTGAGGTTTTATAGGGATTTGATAAGGGTATAGATACGGTATATAGGGCTTTATAAAGGGTTCATAAGTGCTCATGGCATTCGGGTTCAGGGCGTGCCAGGGCCTTATACTGGTTATATGAGGGCTTTGCAAGGCTTCAAAAAGGGATTCTATAAGGACTCCAGGCTGATTTCAGAGTTCTGGGTTTAGGTCTAGGGTTTCATGAACAGCTTCAACTGGCTGCTATGGGTCCCTGGGTTTCTTTGCATTCTAGGATGAAACACTTTTTCTGCAGGGCGTTTTCAGGTGTTGATGCGCCCACAACAAACAAAGCTGGAACCCACCTGGAGTTTCGCCGCCTCCAAAAACCTGGAGAAAAGCCACCAAGGCTCCGGCGCTGAATCCCAAAGCCCCAAAGCCCCAACCACCCTGATCCCGGTAAAGCCGAAAACCCAAATGCTTCAGCCGTAAACCCTGGCCAAACGGATAAGTTTCCTGCGCTTAAGGGCTGGGAGACAGACTCTGTCAGGGTAAGAGTGCTTCTGTGTTTTTGCTGTCGTTTTTGTTGCAGCCGTTGCGGGGCCGCGCCGCGGGGACGACAGCAAAAAATACACGTCCCCGCAACGACAGCAGCAATTCGGGGGCGCGTTTTGTTTTTGCTGTCGTTGCGGGGGCGTGGTTGTTTTTGGCTGTCGTCCCCGGGGCGCGCTGTTTGTTGCTGTCGTGCCGGAGGCCGGGGTTCACCCACTCACTGGCTTATGTTTGCGCAGAGACAGCACAAAAAAAAACAACGACGGCAAAAAATAATGCTCCACTCTGTCCAATCATGTCTCGACCATGACTACATAAAAGGAAGCTACAGTCAAATATACTATACTGTAGGACATCGTGCCCCAGTATGATAACAATGCTCTAGCATGTGTGTCTTACCCCTCAACCTTTAACCCGCAAAACACTGAGGCCCTGAAACCCTTTTCAAACCCTTAACACCCTCGAGATCCCCGTAAAATCCTCATACACCCCTATCAAAACCCGTTCGAACCTCTTAAACGCTTTAACCCCTTGCAAGAACATCCCAAAGCAACCTCACCCTAAACCCTAAACCCCAAACCCCCTCTCTAGGCCTCGAGGATACGTCCGGCCATAAGGTCGGGAAGCCCCGTGGCGAAGGCCACCGTCTCCAGTCCTGGCGCCGAGGACTTTTTGGAGGGTTTTCGAGAAAGGTAAAGAGTCGGCTTCTATAAAGGGCTCTATGAGCGTGTAGGGGTTTTGATGTGGAATTTAAGGGTTTAGGGTTGAGGGGTCGGCGCCGAAGGCGACTTACCGGGTAGTGCACGATGGAGCTGTGTGAGGTTTTGAAAAGGTTTTACGATTCTTTTGGGATTTACCGTGCATCGAAAGGTGTTGATAGGACCCATCTTATACTTCAGGGATCCAACGACATCATAAGTAGGACCGGGTTCCAGTACCAAGCAAAATCGGCATCCTGGTGCTCAGGGTCGAGGTTGCTTTAGGTGCATGGCTTACAGGTTAAAGGGTTCAGGGCTTGCCGCAAGCAGGGCTTGTAGACTTATAGGGCTTAAGATTGATAGCTTAGGGTTTAGGGAGGGTTTGGGAGCTAGGGATGAACTTGCTCATTTGGCTTTAGGACCGAAGACTTCGGCTGTCGGTCTGAAAAGCCCCCAGTCCGAAGCCCTGAGCCCTACGGTGGGACGCCCGCGCATTGAAACAAAGATCCGAGACGATCATGACTCTAATCCCGAAACCCCAAAGCCCTCAGCCTTATACCCTTGAAACCCTAAACCCAAGAAACCCTAAACCCGACTAAACTCGAAACCCTGAACCCAAGCAAAAAGACTCCAACGACGGCTCCTTTGAGAACTTCGGCTTCAGCTTCCCCGCTGTTCTTGCCGTGCTCCTGCAAGCACATGTGGCCAGTGTTCACGGGTTTATGGCTTTGGGGTTTAGGGCTCAGGGCTTAGGGCTTGGGGAAAAGGGTTTGTGGGGCCCCAGTGCCTTTCTAGAACCCTTGAACCGCCGTATAGAAGCCTTAATCCTTCTTAACACACGTTAGAAACTCCAACAAATCTGTATGAAGCTTTAGGTAAACTGTACCCAAGACCCAAAAAAACCCAAAGATACAAAAACCTGAAACGCCAAAACCTCTGAAGGAGTCTGCTTAATATTGTGCTTATCAGTATGTTCTCTGACAAGTTATTCTTGTTCGTATCGGCTGGCCTTGACAACCAAAGCCGTGAGCTCTGCCAGATTCGCCTCACAAAGCGCCTGAAAGGAGCGGTCGGAAATCCTAACCGTAAGCTTTCGCGTACTTAGAGTTTAGGGGTTTAGGGCTTTAGGGAGCTTTGGGGACTTAAAATGTTAGCAAAAGATCGTAGATCGCTCGAGTTTACAAAACCTACGAGTTTTAGGCATTTGCAGATGGCGATTTTGCGTTTCGGGCGGTCGAGGGTCCTTCAGGGCAACAGGGCAACCCTTGAAGCTTGTCGAGGACCGTGCTTAAAGCTGGGTTGAGGGTTTCCTTTTAAGTTTAGGGTTTAGGGGCATAGGCCCAGATTAAGAAAGAAGATATCCCATGGCCTTGAAGCGGAACAGGACCTCTGCGCGAGCTTTCACCTCAGCGTGTCAAACTGCATCCGCAAGACCCCCTTCTTACGTAACGAGCACTCGACATGCTTCCTCAACAACGCAGGAAACCCTGCAAGCCCAATCAAAAGATACCCCTCGAGCGACCTCGCCCTAAACCCTCAGAAAGCCGGCAATGCAACCTCTACAAGAAAAGCTGAAATCCCGATAAACCCCCACAACAGCCTTCTGCAACATTTTGAAACCAAATAAAATCGTCCAGGCGCCGGCGTGTCGCGCCAGGCAGGAAAAGCAGCGGCGGCAGCTTGAGCCGCCTGGTCCTCGTTTGGTTTAGGGAGAGCTGGTGGAAGGATCGAACACCACCCAAAAGCTAAACCCCAACCGGCCCTAACCCCAAAGTTT